CCCACTGGTTTCAAGCAATAATACCGTAGGACCTTTGGATTCATGGAGGTTTGGTTATGGAACCTGCATGGATGTGAAAAAAACATGGATAATCACATATTATTAAATGGCAGCGATGTGAATGTGCACGTCGAAATGTGTGCATTCATGTCGCCACCATTTTCCGTCTTCAATTTGTTCTGTAGTAAATCAGTCTTCCACTCCACCAAATGCATCTGAGGAAGTAAACTGGAGTCTACAAAAGCTCATGCTGCCAATTTCTTTCTTTCAGTTAGTCCCAAAGGTGCTACAAGATCTCTCTATATACTGATTCTACAGACTAACATGGCTATATCTTTGAATTCAACAACAAAACAGGTTACCAAAATACTCTACCCCACCCCAAATGAAGGAACTTTTTTTGCTACAAGGAATGGATCTTTGTGTGGAAGGACTGTCAGCAAGCAAAACAAATAATTGGGTTCAGAATTCCCTAATCTATATTGAACATTCCCCCTTCCCCCAGCTCAGGTTGGTAGAGATTGGATTCTAGTAAAAACAAGATAATTCATACAAGCCTAAAGTCTTCCCATCACTAATATAGCTTGAAGTAGGGACTATAATTCCCACAAATTAATTAAGCATGCTGGGATACCTTGTTCCAATTACAAGATGAGTTCTTGCGATATCAAACTCAAGGCCTATATATTCCAGCATCCTGTTTCCAAACAGATGCTTCAAGCAGGACATAACAGAACTATTGCCTACCTGATCTTTCTCTCCTAGTAATAAGTACCCACAGGCACTCTGGTTCTCTGTCACACCACTTCTTACACTTCTCACCAAACTAAATAAGCATCAGATATTGTTAGTTTTCCTTATAGAAGAGTTAGGGCCTTTGCAGACTGCCAGAAATAGTGCAAATTGAGTCCACTTTAATTGTCCTGGCTCAATGCTAGAGAATCATGGGAACTGTATTTTTTTCTGAGACATTGAACCTTCTCTGTCAGAGAGGTCTGGTGCCACAATAAACTACAGTTCCCATGATTCCCTAGCACTGAGTCAGGGCAGTTAAAGTGGACTCAATTTGCACTATTTCTGGCAGTCTGCAAAGACTCGTACTCTGTCTAGTCAAGATTTTCTGCATTTTTCTGCACTACAATGTCCTTTTTAAAAATGTATCAACCACAACAGTGCACAGCATATCAACTGTGGGCATAGTACAAATTTGGATTCATATGACAAGAGATTTTACCTAAACATTAGGAAGAACGTTTTGAAAGTAAGAGATGTTGAAGAGTGAAATAGGCTGCATCAGAGGGTGATGGACTCTTCTTCTTTGGAGATCATCAAATAGAGGTTGGATGGCTAGCTTTCTGGAGTGCCTTAGTTGTTTATTGCTGCATGACAGAGGGACAATAGAAGGTACTCTACGCAAAAGTGAAGTGTAGGAGCAGTTGAAACAGTATGCCCATTTTTAAATTGTTGCAAATAGCAGTTGCTCATTGTATCAATATATATTGTTACACACGATACCCTTAAAAAGGACAATGTAATAATTTTTCCATCAGTTTTTAGGAAACTAAATATTGTGTTAAATGCACACTCTGTTCAGTATAATTAATGGGTTTAGCATGATAAACTTTACTGGATAATGGGAAATGTGTTCCACATGCACCTGAATCTGTACAAGGGAATAAATCTATTTGGATTCCCTTCTAAGCATCTACAATGAATCTACTTTCATACTTTTATTTTTGAAGGACATAATGGGCCATATTTATGCTAATTTGGCAAGGGGGGAATAGTGCAGGATCTGGGTTATTACAAAAAGCGATGAGAAATCAACAATACAATTATTTGTAAAACATGCTGTTCATAATGTTGTTTACTACCTGTAGAGAACATACAAACAGGGGCTTTTACTGGGTCCTCAGTAGTCAGTGCTATTTATGTAATCATTGTTTTTGTGCTTGTAAATTTATTTCATTACCCAGGCCTAATATTGGACTAGATTTCTACTCCAACATCCTGTCAGTTAGACTGATACACATTCAATATTGAAGATCACTGGTTGTGGAAAATTTATTGATCAACACTGCTTAACTCCTAAAAAGCAATTATGCATCTTCAGCAGGAAAAGACTGTGCTGTCCCCCAAATAAGTCCAGAGAATTCACCAGGCCACTTGATAGAATGAAGCCAATCAGCATGTATCCACAGTTCAGAATTCTACAAACTTAGCAACCCGAACTTAGGTCTTTGTTCTTGTGGGTCCCTCTGTTACTAATGATGTTGCTCTGTATCGTTCACTTTCATATTCGCCATCATTGGATGCCTTCATTTTTTGGCGGACTTTCAGCTGTTTCAGACGGTTCTTGTCTACTTCTCTCTTAGTGAGGAGGAAAAGGATGATACCAGAGGGGAAACCAATGGCCCTGGGGAAATAAATATAATCAAACTGAAAAATACATTGCGGCCTGGTTGCAGAATCAGTAACTCTCCATACATTGAGGGACTCAATTTTCTATCAACACCTACCAGTCTGGACAGTGATGAGGGACACTGGGAGCAATCATTTGTTGACACTGAAGACTACAGGTTCCTAATTCTTGCAAAAAAACCATTGGTCTTCTCATTCTGTTTCACATAAACAAGATTTCCAAAGCTCACATCCTCATTAAGTGTTGAAATAAACATTATCTTTACTGTGGCTTATTACTTCTTCTGCATTTTAAAATTACTGAATAGAATCTGATACCTGATTCCAGATTTCACATAGGACAGAATTTATTTGAGCCCAGATCACAGACTCCTGCTGGTATTCTTTCCTAAGATCTTGCCACTCTCTCACTTTTGCTCATGGACTGAGTATAGAAAAGTGTCATGGCCCAAGAACAGGGAATGTGTGGTTCTTCACATGTTGGGAGATTACAGTTTCCATTAGCCATAGCTAGTGTGGCCAGCAGTAAGCAATGGTAGGAGATAAAGTCCAAAAACGTCTGGAGAGCTAAACATTTCCTACTCCTTACCAGTCTCTCTCAGACGGGTTTGCCCAACATTTTAGGCTGCAAAGAGTGACAAAATTAGGAACACTGAAAAGATCATAAAACAAACTCAAAATGCAATGCTCACCAAGCAATACCAACTGTCTTCATGGGGTTCTTGGCTTTCTTTGTGGGGATATATTCCACCTCTTCATAGACCTGTCTATCAGGCTGTGACTTTGTCTGTACTTCTCCCCATACCCTGCGGCTACTGTGGATGGATCTGGTAGAAGTTTTGAAAGGCGCAATAAAGCCTGCAGCTCGACGCACGGTGGCAGAAACAAGGCCTGCAAAGGGACAAACTACCTCCATGAAATTGTACTTCTGTCAAGGTTATCTATCAGTGCTGGCCTAATCTAAATTAGAATATTTATTCTGCCAATAAGCAAGTAGAGTAACTAAAATTGTGTCCTGAAAAATGTGCTTGACAGACTGATCTTATGAACACATGCCTTACAAAGTTCAGTGGGACTTTTGTTGTTGTTGTTCTTGTCGTTGTTGTTGCTGTGTGCCTTCAACTTATTTCCAATTTATGGCAATCCCAAGATGAACCTATCATGGGGTTTTCTTGGCAAGATTTGTTCAGAGGAGGTTTGCCATTGCCTTCACCTGAGGCTGAGAGCATGTGACTTGCTGAAGGTCACCCAGTGCATTTCAAGTCTGAGCTAGGAACTGAATCCTGGTCTCCAAATTCATAGTCCAACACTCAAACCACTATGCCACAGGGCCCATAACGTTACAACCAGGCTGTCTGAAAAGACAACTAATCCAACACTTCAAGTTTGTGAGCATATTGCAAAATATCTTTCCAAAATGCCTTCTAATTTCCTTTAAAACATTTTCCTTTCAAAAAAGATATTATAGTACAGTGAACAATGGAAGCAATCATTAAGTGTTCTGTACTTCTGAAAAGATATATATAAAAGAGAATTTTGATGAGCAAAGTCCTCCTCAGGACTCAAGTGCTGCAACACACCACGCTCTGCTTTCCAGTTTGCTACAACCGCTATAGTTTTCTTTCATGTTACACAATTATAGCACTTTGATACCCTTTTAACTTCCATGGCTGCATCCTACAAAATGCTGGAATTTATAGAGTTCTTTGCAAAGAATTTTAAATACCTCATGAAACTACAAATCCCAGAGTTCCATAAGATGGAGTAATGGCAATTCAGATGGGACCAATGTGCTATAGTTGTGTAGGAAGAGACCCTAGACAAAGTAGCACTGTTCTCCTCTGTTTCTGTTTTATATTAGGTCCAAAACACACCACAGAAATAATCCAGTTTAAGAATGCATAACTGTCCCGGCTCAGTGCTAGTGAACGCTGGGAATTGTAGTTTATTGTGACCCCAGAGCTCTCTGACAGAGAAGGCTAAATGTCGCACAAACACTACAGTTCCCAGAATTTCCTAGCATTGAGCCAGGGCAGTTAAACAGTCTCAAATTGGATTATTTTTGCAGTGTGTTTTGGACAACCAACAAGGAAAAATATCTCACCTCAGCTCTACAAATGCTCTTCCTTTAAGGATTTCTAGATGAAGGACAGCCTGAGTCATCCAGACAAACAGGCAGTACTAGAGGACATTGCAATGGGAAGCTAGTTCGGGATCACTATGTCCTTTGGTGCTCACTGGATGATCTTGGACCAATCTCTCATGCATCTATACTGTAGAAATAATGCAGTTTGGGACAACTTTAAGTGCTGTAGCTCCATCCTATGGAATTCTGGGATCTGTAATTTTACAAGGCCTTTAGCCTTCTCTGCCAAAGAGTGCTGGTGCCCCACAAAATTACAAATCCCAGGATTCCATAGGATGGAGCCATGGCAATTAAAGTGGTGTTAAACTATATTATTCCTACAGTGTTGATGCATCCATAGTCTATCCTGAGAAAGAGAAGAGTTGGGCAGTAAATCAGTCATGAGGCACCCAGACTTCAAGATATCTCTGAAGTCTAACTTCCATCATATGCAGCCAATGTGGCGTAGTGGTTTGAGTGCTGAACTATGACTCTGGAGACCAGGGTTTGAATCCCAGCTCAGTCATGGAAACCCACTGGGTGACGTGAAATTGAAAGCTTTCATGGATGGTGTCCATAGTTTTTTGTGGGTTTTTCGGGCTATGTGGCCACGATCTGGAAGATTTTATTCCTGATGTTTCGCCTGCATCTGAGGCTGGCATCTTCAGAGAATGCTGGCATGGAAGTGAGTTGTGTGTGTGTGTGTGTGTGTATGTATATATACACACACACACACACACACACACACTGTGTGACCCTTGGTTGGGAAGAAGTGATTACATGTTAATCTGTGTGTTGGTCTGTTGTTGAAGGGTGGAAGCATGTGTGCGTCTATTTAATTAGTGATCCATTGTCTGCGGGAAACCCCCTGATCCTGGGTGGTGTTCATTTGCACGAATCACCCTCAGAAATCCACTGGGTGACCTTGGGTGAGTCACACCCTCTCAGCCTCAAAGGATGGCAATGGCAAATCTAAGAAAACAAGGGGGGTGGACTAGATGGCCCTTGTGGTTCCTTCCAATACTATGGTTCTATGATTTCCCTTGATCACTGAGATGAACAGAAAGAGAGAGAGAGGGAGACATTTCAGAATAACATTTCCTCAAAATTCATTTATAACATCCTATCCACAAACGCTGCAAACCCCTTCTGAACAAATCTGGCCAAGAAAACCTCATGAAAGGGGCTCCATAAAGGCACACAGTAACAACAGTAACAACAACAACAACTGAATGTATTAATCTATATCAGGGGTAGGCAACCTTTCCCCTTTAAGGG